CGTTAATGTTTGTCAAAACGTCTAAATTTGCCCACCAGAGTTATTTTACCTAGCAAAGATAACTTCGAAATGATTGTTAGGGAATAATTGTCGGGGAAATGAACTGTCGGGGAAATGAACCAGACCCATAAATACTGTCTTCTCTCTTCATCTTGTCACGACATAATTTGCTTCGTTATATAAAAACTATTGTCTACAATCTAAAATGTCTTCTCAGCAAGTCTTTGTTACTCGCAACGCATTTGATACCATTATTGACCAGTATATTTAGAACATCACGAAAGCAGAAGAGCCAATCTATTTATTACTAGAGCTCTGTATTGAGACCGCCATTCAAATTCTTCTCGATCCTGAAAATGCAAAAATATCAGATAAAAAGACCCGATTTTTGATAAATATCTGACACATTATTTAAAAATTAAATTGATATCTAACAAGGCTTCTTAAATAATGTACCAATAATCTAGGTCAAAAATAATTTTTACATAGAAGAAAAGGCTGATAAAGAGAACGAATATACTGTATATTTAAAAAAGAGAAGGGCACAAATATGCATCCTATACGGCCTGATTGCGTTAAAGAAGATTTATAACTAAAATTCACGACAAGCTTAAGCGTACATTTTAGATTAAAGTTTCCCGTTGGTTCCACAAGATATTGCTGAACGTTTCGTAAGACAATGCGCGCTTTGTTTGACACATAAGAACGTTTTCCAGCTACAGAAGTAAATAAATGGTTAAAAATAGTCCGCGATTGGATGGCACAGTTGACTAGCATGAATCAGCAAATGAAATTGCAACATTTAAAGAGAATACCCTACCAAAAGAGAGGTAGTTATGGATATTTTACTAAATTCTATTTTATATCCTACCTGATACTAAATCTAAATCATATGCGAATACAGTTGATTGGAAACTCTCAAAAAATTCTACCAGTCTATGAGAGCTGGGAAACTATTAATGCTCAGTGGGAGACATGGTTTGGACAGCGACAAACGATATCTGGTAAGCTTGCCGAAGACAAAAGTTGAAAAAAATTTGATGCAAAGTCTAGAGGTATTAGAAGGCCTTCGTGGAAATAATAACTATCCACAACTTATACTCAATTTATGGGACGAGAAGTTTAGAAGGTGGTTGTCAGAATTATCAGATTCTGTTGATAAGGTAACAGCATGTCGTCCGCTGCAATAATTATGGTAGTCGCACGGTAACTATAACTAAAAGAGTCAACAATTTAGATATATGAGAGGCTCGACTTTCCGCTAGATTCTGGGTTTAATCCTTTTATTCATATGTATCAATAAACGAATAACTCTGAAAATACACCTTTGATCGATATAGCTATAAACCGCTGGTCCCTATATCGGAAAAGGAACATTTGCTTCTTGTCCCGCGATTATTTTCCAGTCACATATACGATCAATTACGATTATACCCCAACCTATAGACTAGACTACCGATTTAATCCCATCGTTATCGGTGATCGACACTGAGATTATGAGTAGAAAAGCCTGGTTAACTGTTATTTTAACTAAAAGTAGGAGACGCCTTTGAACTTGGCTAAATCTCTAGAGTCGACGATCGATGGCTCTCCGTTGTTAGAACACAATAATAGATAATTATTTGTGCTTTTCGGCTCTAAACGCAAGTGCATTAACGGGTCCCGACACTTAGAGGGGGTTTACTGTATTTAGAACATATGATCGAAGTTCGACAACCAAAGTTCGAAAATTGTTAGTATGACTTTATCATGACCAAAATTAAATCTCTCTTCATGAAAAGCATAAGATAAATGCACGTTAATATTGTCAACACTTAGAGTATCACTGTTTGTTTGTGTAGTAAAGAAAAACGTTTACTATGTGGCAAAAATTGACAATTTTTTTCGATAATCTGCAAGTGTCCACGCCTATCACATCTGGATAATGCTACAAAAACATAATTCAGGCCTTAAACTCCATCATTGTTTACACGTTAATATGGTGCAATTTTATTACTATATTCAAACAGACACGAAATGCTGGTTAACGTAATCAATGTGTTATTCTTACATCAATACTACATTTATATTATCTAATGTCAATTGTAATATTTTTATCAGTATCTTTTTTTACTAAAACCAATAATTTATTTTATAAATGCAGGCAGGGACGTTTTTGTCATGAAGAATGGCTTGTTTATTACATTTCAAGCAAGTTTCATTATAATAGTATTTATTCGACTATCACATATAATAAAAATTTCAATTCGTTCTTTCTTTCTTTTTCTTTTCGCTATTATAATTTTCATTATCATTAGCTTATCATTTAAATAATATTACAATTATTACTAATATGGATAACAATTAGATAAATAATATTAAGTACATTATAACAAATACATTACGAATAACTATTGCTTTCAAACTGGCGTGCCAAGCAGCAAACTTACCTTCCATCTCTATCAGCTTCAGGGACAGATCCTTCACAAGCAGCCAAGCAATCACCGAATCAGACCCTCAAACTCGCTCCACTCCACCAAGTGTCCCATTGGATCCGTTCACGGCAAACCGCCAGTGTAGAGAAAAAGGGGAGAGAAAGAAAAAGAAAAAGAAAAAGAAAAAGAAAATGGAGTTAGTTTATAACGTAAAGCAAACCTACCCGTCATCTAAAAACTGTGTAAAAAAAAAAAGAAGAAAGAAGATGTCGTGACAGTGTTCCGGGCATCCCCCGTGACCCACTTATCAGAGGACCCGTGCCAGATCCCTTCACCGCAGGCGAGCACTGGTGAGAGTGGGTCACCGGTAACTGCCCGCTGCCCGATCCAGATCCGTGCCCGTCCACCAGTTGAGACAAAAGAGAGCAGCCACCTAGCTAGCCAGTTTAAAAAGCAATAGTCTGTTAGCGAACGATTATTTATCCACCTAAATAAATTACATCTATTATTTAATTTCTTAATTCTATATAGAATTGACGCTGCCTAATACACTGTAGACCTAGCGCAGTGGGAAGAGCGAAATTATGTGTCGGAAATCGAAGAATGTAACGTCTAAGAAATATAATAGATATTATTGGGTTGTTTTATGACGCAATTATTTATTTCACTGAAGACAAGAAGATACCTGTTGTTGAAAGACGTCGAATATAAGAACAATTAATAAACTTACATAACAATAACAACTTTTGGGGGAGGGAGGATTGTTGCGTTGTATATTAACTTTTCGATAGCGTGTATTTGCGATTTGGAGAAGGAGAGGGTGCTGTGAGACGATACATGTGAAATGGAGAGAAGCGCTGAGTATATATGTATGAGCAGACGCGTGTTCGCGTGTTAGGGTACCACTTGATAATATTAATTGCTGTCGTACGCAACCTTATAAGTATAAATTTCTATCAATAAGGAGTGTGGGAGTTGACTCCCAATAACTAAAAAAGCATAGACTGGTATCGATATATTGCCTAGTGTAACAAATCATTACATCATATTGTGGCTGTCCCGATTGTTTCCGTGAATAAGAACAATAGTATTAATGTAACATTCGGGAGCACATGCAGTAAAATAATTTTACTGGTTAAAAGTCCGATAAGTCACGCGTATGAATTTAATTAACTGACAATCGTAATCTATATAGTATAGCGAATGACATTAACCACTGACTAAAGTACCCCGGGTACTTTATAATTTGGCACACCCATGGTAACACATTGACAACCCCATAATAAAAACTGTTCATTATGGGTCGCGCTAACAAACCTACGAGACGTTCTCGTGTAGTCAACAAGAGAAAAACTTGTCATTTATTACTATTATCATCATCATTGAACCAAAGCAGGTGAGAGAGTGGATAAACTCGTACGTATCAATATCGTATGTTAATTAATACAGTAATATGAGCTGCTTTGGAGGGTAAGTGCTCTACGGTAATTTAGCACAAAGAAACATGATGGCTGCATCAGTGATACTATTATCTAACTGAATAAGTTTTTTTACGTAATATGTTTATAAATAGTGACCATAATAGTTGCTTTTAACTATAACTGCTTGCTTGCTTAATTTTGTATTTAGACAACCAATAAGTATAGGTTAGGTATTTGCTCTCTATTGCTCTCAATTATTAGCTCACAACATTGCTGCATTGTCCTCAGAGATATTTATCCACTCCTCTGCCAAAAAACTTTCTAATTCATCAAGATTTTTTGGCATTCGCCTTGTCCACATTTCTCTTAACAATTCCCCAAAGATATATCTGGGCTGTTAGACGGTCAGTCCATAAGTTCCGGAACATTCCTTGTGTGGTTTGGGCCGTTCTTTTTAATTTTTTATATTATCATAAATTGTGGAAAGGGGAATATTCGTGCGGCGATAATAATAAATTTCTTGGCCATTATGAATGCCCTTGTTCCCAAATTTAATATGGTTTGGCGTTGTGTTTCTTGCTTAGAAGTTGGTTGCAAACAATGCTCAAAATTATCATGTTTATTTCCCAGTTTACATCTCCCGAATCGGGCAAAAAACAAACGCTTACGTCGCATAAAAAAATATCTGGGTTTTTTTGTTACGCACTGTAAGTCACATCTGCTATGAAATGTAAAAATTCCATAGCTGTTCACTAACTTCACATTGGTCAATCTTCTAGCCACATCAGCCATTTTTAGCATGTGTAGTCAAATGTTCACTTTGTCTGGATTGTTCCATATTAAAGTTAGACCATCAACCACATGGTATAGTAATACATAAATAAACCCCCACACACAAAAATATATACTCCACTTTACAGAGGGGTGAGTCCTGTAAAGTAGCCAATTGTCCAAAAAGCCATAATGAGTAATCTAGCTTTGTGTCTTTACTTTTATCCTTAAGAATTTCATGCATTATTATTATACTTATATCTTCAAGCTAACTGCTTGCTATGAGAATACATTCTTTCTTTTCATAACCTACACAAATATTAAAAATTAATCATCTATTACTATTATGCACAGAGAACTTACATGGAAAATACCACTTGTGAGTTAACACTGCTTAGTTATCACATGTTGTATCCCAAACAAGCTTCAGAGCATCTCTAATGACTTGCTCAAGATATTGTAATGCCTTTTCTTCGCCTTCACATCTCATTAGTCCATATAAATAGTCAACAAATCCGACTTCCATTCGAAAATAATTAGTGATTTGCTTGAACATGTCTTCGGTAAAAACTACGGTCATACGACTCAGACGTCCCTCGTTTGCAGTTTGGTATTGTTGGTAAGCAATGTGAGCTACTACTAGGCGAAAGTAACTCTTTCGTACAGCTTGCATCTCGTCACAGTTACTCTGAATTAACTTGTTTATGTTGGCGTCTATAATGGGAGGTGGCTGTATTCGGAGAATACTTTCACTGGCAGCCAGACGAAGTTTATTTCCAACCTTAGCTTTAATTTTTTCTCTATTGTCCTCGCAAACATCCATTGGTTCTGCTTGACGACAAAGTCCTTCGGCGTGATTCTGGCTTACTTGCTCGTTCGGTTCACATGGTGCGTGAAACGGCTGGGCTTGAAGGTTGCTTGGATTCTCTGTGGTTTTGCGACGACGACGACGTTTTTGTTTACTTGGCAAGTCTTTTTTGGTATTGTCCAAAGTTAAACATAAAGAATGCAGTAAGCAATAGCAAATATACAACGAACGTTAAACACTAGAAGATTATTACCTGTTTGCATAAGCTGCTCATCAGGAGTTCCCGTAAGGTGCTGACCCTGACTATCGTGAGACAATTTTAGTCTTTTACTGAATATATTTTCGATCTTGCAAATCATGATTTATAAAAGAAAATAATCAGGTTAGCATAAAGCAGACATTCAATATCACAAAAGTTTGCAATCAACATGCCTCCTTCATCGACTCTGAATGACCAATTGGACGTATTTTAGTTGTACGTAGATTTGTGCAAACTTCTGGGAAAGATCTGTTGTGAGTTACTCTGTCAGAGAGAACATCATTCTCTTGAACAGGCAGTAGGAAGCGGACTGACTTCCCCTTCCCGGATGACGCTTCACCAACAAAGTTATTTTCGACTGGGAAATATTTCAGCACATTGGAATTAGCTTCTTGAAGGCCTCTTTCAGAAGGAACGCTACGACTTTGATCCCATAACAAAGGCAACTGGGTTGCTTCATTTTCAGACTCTATTTCCATGTCAGAGTTTTCTGGGTCGTCTACCTCGTCGTCAGATATTATTATGTAGGAAGTAGTGTCTTCCACATCCTCAATCACTACCGGATTAGTGCAACTCCCTAGTGGTTGAATAGTATTTGCGGGGAGAGGTTGAATAGTATTTGTGGGGAGTGATTGAATAATATTTGTGGGGAGTGGTTGAATAGTATTTGCGGGGAGTGGTTGAATGATATTTGTGGGGAGTGGTTGAATAGTATTTGTGGGGAGTGATTGAATAATATTTGTGGGGAGTGGTTGAATAGTATTTGCGGGGAGTGGTTGAATAATATTTGTGGGGAGTGGTTGAATAATATTTGTGGGGAATGGTTGAATAGTATTTGTGGGAAGTGGTTGAATAATATTTGTGGGGAATATAGGTGCCATAAAGTTATTCATGTTGCTTACAAAAAATCAAAGCAAAAAATATATGCGACTGTATTTAAAGACGTCAATCGTCAGACGTAACACGGTATTATTTGGGAGGGAGGGTCACGCGTTGTCTCAGGTGACACCATATCAATTTATTTGCGAAACAACATAAATAGACGCGTTTTTACTACTTCCACCAATTCTTATTAGCACCGCGTTTATGGCTACAGTCAACTGCCGATAATTCGACCTTCTTTAATTCGATTTATACGTTAATTTGACCGCTGGTTACAGAACATTTTTTTGACATCTATTATTATTTCTACTGCAATTAACTGAGATAATTCGACTTGTACGTTAATTCGATCGATAACCTCGGAACGCAAGCGGTCGAATTATAAGCAGTTGACTGTATAACTAATGAGACGCCAGTCAAGATGTCTCACAATCATTTACAAGGTATTGTCGGCATTAGGCACAAATTATTGGAATTATATAGTCGACCTTAAATTCGGATTAACGGCGTCTTCGGATTAACGAGTTTTGTTCTCAATAACCCGAACTTGCTATTGATTCGATAATTATGCAGTTACAACTTAAGTCTTCATTATTATTTAGTTATTATATCGCAACGTACCCAGAATGGGTTCTATGCGCTTCCATCTGCTAACGTCTGATTATGTCATCTCGCTTTGAGGTGCAAAAAACTTGTCAATACGTAATTGCCGCTTACTTTGAATTTCAAGTACTTTAACAAGGCGGTGATGGATGTCAAATGCATATTCTTGTCTAATAAATTTTAAAATCTTTTCTCGTATTCTTCACACGGCTCTAGTAGTGTTTCAATGCCTGTGTCAATTTCTATAACATTTGGTATTCGGATACATATCCAGAACACTTCAAGTTTTGGATTTGGTCAATCCGTTGATTGCATAGATTTGTTATGCCTTCATCGAGTTTATTATATCGATGAGTAGTTTTGTACTTAGGTATGATAAACTATTTGCCAAACTGAGGGGGTTATATCTTTTGAAGCAGTTAATTGTAAGCTATAGATTGCACTAAACTTGGGTTTACCAACTCACGTTTTGGCAAACGGTCTTTAACCAATGTAAGTGTCATACGCCCACAACTTCTTCCGCGCCGTCCTCGTTCACATTCTAAATCAATTAATTATTTCAGTGATGAGAGCACGCAGTCATCCAAGGATCTCGCGGATTCCAAAAGCACCTCGTGGTCTATCTCTTTTGAGGAGTCAGCTCCTGGTCTATATTATCTTCAGTATTAGGGAAATTGACTGGTCTCACTCTTATTATGGGATGCTATGAACTCATCCAGCATTTTCTCCACTTCTGTTGGAAGGATTACTTCATTGAGCTCATGCTTCGTGAGAGCTTCCCGGACGTCCTGTGGAAGCCTCTCTGCAATCTTGTCACCACGTTTTGTAAGGTCCAATATTCCTGAGACTAGTGCATCGCTTACTGTATACTGCGCCTTGTGGTTTATACCACTTGACGATTGATAACAAATTCGCGATTTCCTCTTCGAGATAGAATTCCACGTCAATGGTTCTTTCTTAAAGATGCTGTGTGCCTATCTGCAATTACCAACTCCGCAATTACCAACTCCGCAATTGCTTCAGCCGAGTCTTCGAGGTATGTTAAGGCGTCTTTGGCTGCCCTCTGTGGCTTGTACCAGCGCGTTATCGACAGCAAGTCTGCTGGTAAGTTGATGCCGCAGAACATGCACGCTTGTATAGCGAAGAAGCTCTATAAATGTTAGGTCTATCCTTCCGTGACGACCACTGCAATTTTTGCGGCGCAATATATGCAATTGCAAGGATTTTATGATTAGCAGAACTCTAGTAGCTGCTAATAACAATTGATAGCACCGTAGAGCATATAATCTACGATCCCCCTTCTTGCATGGTCAACAGTTTATGTTCCCCCGTAGGACCGAAATAACTGACTCATTGTCAGAATTAACGGATTCGAAAAGCATTTTTGAAGAGTGAGTGGCAGCAAAGTGGATACGGATTGTTAGTGCCACCTCTCTTGATATTGGGGTTTATTTGTAAGTCTTGCTGGGCAGATTATGGTCTGATACTTGGTTCTCTAATCATCAATCTTTAGTCAGAAACAATATAAAGATGCATGTATCCCAGCTCCAAAGACTAATGACAAGTTTGGCGCGCACAATAATGTTCTCGCACCACATCAATTCCCGATAGGGAAAGATTGTATCAATTTTGGGAATGAAGATTCGTCAATATAAGGCTAGCTCTCTCTTTTTATGGGTTATACAGTTTATATTGCAATTCAAAAGAAACCATTTGAATGATCACAAAACCAATTATATTGTTACTCATGATTGAAATATATGCTATTACTATTTGCATTAGTATGTACTAGTGAATGACTGAATTTTGATCGAAATGACAGCAGTCGTTCACCAGTTCGAGGGCAATCAGGTGCATGAGGAGAATAAAACAAATATAGAGAAAAATGGAGGCAGAATAACAAAACGTTAAATATAAAGAATCACAAGTTAACTTGAGAATCCGCTATGCTCCTTGCATGCGCTCGAACAATAAATAATTATGTACGCAACTCTGAAAAATTCCAAAAAAACAAAACAAAAAAACACCAAACCCTATTTGACAATAAATTTGAATTGAATGGATGAATTATTTACTGTAGTGGCAATATTAGTGCATTAAAGCAGCGTACTTGTGAAAAGTTTAAATGTGTTTGGTCATGCTCCGCCTTTTTGCCATATTAAATAGCTACACATCAAAATGAAAAGAGGATATTGATGGATATGAAATGAGAATCGATATTGAATGATGTGAGAAATGTGTATTTGTCTGCAATTGAAAATGCAGGAAAGATATGATTAGAAATATTAAAAAGAAGGTGTGACGGGGAGCATTCACCAATAATTACAAAGGTCGGCTTCATGATACAACTCAAAAAGCCGCCCGTTGCAGTAATTGAAAGTCGCTTAACTCAATCACTAACATGCACTTTGAAATGTCAAGCAGGAATTTCTCTTGACCCCAAACCCAAAATACAAAGTCCCAAGTGTCCTTACACAACACAAAATTTTTTTTTTCTTTTTGCCCTGATCAAGTCGCCGTCTCTGAAGATTGATCCATTATACCCTCGGCTACAATGTTTACCCTCACTTCATTGCGTCTAAATGCGCGTAGTTCAATAACTCCACGAATCTCGCCAGGTTCTTTTGGCAGAAAACGAACAGGCATAGTAAAGCTTGTGCCCGGCTTCAATTGAACGCTTGAGAGGGGAATAGATAGAGCGGTACTACCAGCAACTGCTTCACATTTGCACCTAATCTTGATTACATGGTCAGATGGGTTGATAATCTGAAATCCGACACATCTACGCCTTCCGACTCTGGTCGGAGCTATCCGAATCTCTCTATCCGAAACTTGAAACTCAGCTTCCCTTGTCCCGCCGCCTGCTTGCACTGTATTGTCCTCTTTGCCATCACCTTGTATACGGACCGCTACTCCTCCCGTCGCATCAGGATTCATGGAACCTTCCAACATAAAGTTCTGCACATATGTTCCCACAAACAAGGGATGAAAGTTGTAATCTACCCGTTCTGTCTGTCCTGGTCGAAGAAAACCGCTTGTTTTTGCTAGTAAGAAAACGTCATCGGTAATTTTTTGCGCAGTCGACGACTCCGACCGTCTAAGGAATGCATTTGTAGCAGTAGTTAAGTGCCATGTGACTGGTTTATTGGTTGGGTTATGGATTCGGAAATGGTCATGCGATGTCCCACGCACGGATGTAGCCGTGCAAGAAACGTTTCCCGGGACGCCAATACTGATAAAATTCTTCCTTTGCGGAGGCTGCCTTACGCTCGATTGATTAGTATTACGGTGTCCATCAGGAGTGCTGGAGCGAGCGTTTGATGCAGGAGAAGGGCCACGTCTCGATCGATTTGTATCAGGCGTACTTGGTCGGCTACTCAAAGTGGATGACAGAACTCTTCGCCGTGCTGTCGGTTTCCCTTCAGGACTGCTTGATCGACTATTAAAAGTACTTGATGTGCTGCCTTTTCTGGTGGAAGATATCTTTCCTGACGAACCACTCGCTGAAACGGTAGATTTTCCTTTTGAATTACTGCTGCTTGACTTATCTTCTATGTTACCTCCCTTCTTTGACACTGCTGTAGCTCTTGCTTTGGCAACCTTTAGTAAATCGTCCATCTTGCCAGATAAGCTTTTCCTACCAGACTTGCTTATTCGACTCAAGAAATTCGCCCTTGTGTCCTCCTTGCTATTTTTATCTTTAACCTGTTCCAATTCCCCTTTTGCCTTCTTCTTAACCTGAACAATATCGACGCCAATCTCTTTATGGTCTCCATTTTCACAGCGTATTATAATAGAAGTTTTATCCATCAAAGGCCTATCCTCATCTTTTTCTCCCCCTTTAATAAATCCTATAAAACTTTTAGAGTCTCTTGGATCGTCCATCTTCGACCCCGCAACGAGATGTTTCATCATAACTGATAGCTTAATTGTTGTTGTGCCTTTTGGTATTACTATTCCATATGCAGGAGAGATATCGAAGCGGAAAGCAGGCCATAGAATTTCATATCGTAGAGGTTGATCACTAATGTTTGATATTGTGAATTTTGTTTCATATAAAGATTTGGCATTGTGTTTAGCCAACGAAGAACTATTTGGATTTCGCAATGACATTGGCATGTTTACGTTTGATACGCTGTTATGTTTTACGGCAGAACCTCCAACAACGATTAGGTGATCTGGCGAAACCCTCACACCAATGACAGGCGGATTCGTTGATAAACCACGATTATCTCCTTTACCAGAATCAGTCAAATCAACCTCCTCACTAGACCATACACCGATATCATCGCCTTCATCCTCTTCAGTTATTGTTGCTAAAGGCTGTTCAGGGACAGCAACAGGCGTCTTTGCAGTGTCCTTTACATCACTTACTGGTTGTTGCAGAAGAGAAGGATCTTTAGAAGGAGGCGATGCGGTAAATCCATGACCTTTGCCTAATATACTGGGACTGCGTCGCTGGTGATATTTCCTTAATTGTTCTAATGTCTTTTTTGCCCAAGTGTTGCCGACTTTACCTATATGATCTGCTGGGTTATCGCCGGGACGTGAATACTCTCCTCTAGATTTGGGGCTAAATGATGGTTTTGGCCATCTCCAAGCGGTTGGTGATTGGGGGGAAGACGCCGTATCCGATTGTGACTGCACGGTCGATGGGGATTGTTCAGGTGATGTTTCTTGAAGAGTGATATCTGATGTCGATTGATAAGTTGTACTGTCAGACTCTGTAGCCGCAGCTTCTTCTTCTTCTTCTTCTTCCTGCGGCTGCTGTAGTTGCTCTCCACTTCCACCGTCTTCTTCTTCTTCTTCTTCTTCTTCCTCGTCTTCCGTCTCTGAAATAACCGACATCACCTTTCTGGTTTCACTGAACGGTGCATGTCTTGCTGGGTATGATGGAGATACTCGAGTTTTAAAGGGACCCCTGTAGTGTTTAGTTTTACCTTCATCACTACCTCTGGGAAAAAAGCCCATCGTCCGTGTAGTCCGACCGAATACGTGGATTATGGGCGGGGAATTAAGATTAGTAAGATTGTTCTGATGTGATATTATTTCTTTTTTATTTTTTGTATCAAACTTTTCGGTTATAGATTGATTTTCGCTTTCCTCTCCAAATTTCCGAAAAAGTACGTCTCTATTAGGATTATTTACATGACGACTTTTTATTTCAAAATTGTCCATATTTTCCAAAGTATCTTTTTCCTCCTCCACCAGTGGAAGAAGAGTCCCAGTGTCTAGGTGTTTAGAAAACGGAGACCCTTCAGACGACGAGCTTATGCTCAAATTCGTCGATGGGTGGAGTGTTTGGGGGTCCACTTCTGTGTCTGTTGGAGTGGTTGAACCCTCAGTTACTTTGGAAGTTGTGTTGTTGCGACCAGCGATGTTAGGGAAAAAGAATGACGGTTGTTGATTAGACGGCTGTTGTGACCGGTGTAAAATAGGATTTTGTGAAGAATAGTCATCTATGAAGTTGTCAGACTCAATATTGTCCTTGTTTCTTGTGTTACTTTTGTCCTTGTTTCTTATTATAGGTGGAAAACTGCTGTCGGTTCTTTCGGTATTTGGGTATTCAAGGCCGTCTTTATCTATCGAAAAGGAAGTGTTTGAGGTGGTTGTTTCGGGTTTATTGGTGGTATTGGTATTGTCTGTCAGAGAGGGTGTAGCTGAATTGTTGTCCACAACTTCCTTATCAGGCCGCTTCAATAAAGATTCCATGTATCTTAAACAGATCGGCTTGTTGGGGACAACACATTTAGTAGGAAAGTTTGACGAGGAGAGGGGGGGGGAGTACCGCGAGGTGGTATAATATGGGAAGAAAGAGTGAAAGACAACGAGGTACTATTAGTAAAATGTTGATACTTTTGGGAAAATTTTAATATAATTTTTTTTATTTTTTATAATAATAATATTTATAGTTGTTGCCAAGCAAGTCAAACAAAATGAAGAGAAATTTGGGGGTTGGGGAAAGAAGGGGGGGATGGTGAGAGAAGGGTAGGGGAAGGGTAGGGGGAGGGGGAAGAGGGAGAAATGAGAGAACGAGGGAGGGGAAGAAGGTTGAACCTTCAGAGATTTAAACCTTATGATGTCTGCTTTATTTGGGGTCAAAGTCGGAAAGTGGCAATATACAGGAAGCTGCTGACGTCACATTGAAAGTGGGAAAATAGGGTATATAGGGATATTAATGTTGCAAGTCGGGAAAAAATTATCGAGAAATGGGGAATAAATGGTTCGTTATGTCTCTGCGAAGAATGTAAGATTTACTGCAATTGGATATTTGTTTATTACAAATAATTGGTAAGGCCGGAATAATAGGCAAATGTGAGTTTAATGATAACTGGTAGCGGTAGATGGGGGGGGGAATGGATTGATAGGTCGATTCGACAAGTTTCATTTGGGAATAAACAAACAATTGAATATATTAATAATGTATCCAGTAAATTACATACTGCGGGCATTAATTGTTATATAAATATACATAATACATTATTATTACCACCATCATAATTACTATTATGTGCGTCATAAATGTGTATAATAATATTAAGTGTCATATGTGTGATAATATTGGTGTCATATGCATTACATAACAATCCTTATTCTGGAGTGCGCAGTCTGATGTCTGTCTCATCATCTATCACCATCAGCAAATTATCCCCATATGCTCAATATTGTTCTAATACATTGTTTGTTTGTTTTGTTCGTGATATCGGCACGTTATCTGCCACGTTCTTTGGGGAAGCAGTGAAGATCATCAAAAGGAAGCATGAAACGTAAGAAATCCTCAAACCAAACCAATTGTAGTTTGAATGTAGTATGAATTACGAAAATAAACTACGAACATGATATCATTCCATTGATCTGCCATTATTTGACCCCCCCTTCCCTCCCCTCCCCGATAGGGGATAGGACAATCATTCCAACGAATAAGTAGCTCGATACATATAGTTTGGTCATTGTTACATTTAAAGTACAAAAGATATTATTGTCACTCGCCCTCGTTCTGAGAATTGATGGGCATTTCCCGCCAATTTGAAATAAAGAATATGTCAAACATCGTTTGTATCACGATTTGTAGACTATTATGTGAATGCAATAAGTATATATGCGGTAAGTAATAAAATCTCGATATGGAGATAAAGCAGTTTCGAATAATCGTCTGACAGAACGATTCCTTCCGTAGTGCAAATAAGCGGTAAAGATTGGTGCAGCTCACTTATCTGTCCAAAGGATACATCACACATGATTGGTGTGCGAACGTAGTGAACATAGTATCACAAATGCCATGTGTAGTAAAAGGACCCTTGTAATAGAATGTACGTCAACAACAATTTCACAACCCGACACACCATATAATCCCTTGATTTAAAAGATTGTGTCTTCTAGATTTTTATTGTGCTAATTACATCTCCACATCGGAGTTTATTATTATCCTCTTGCCACAAACTCTCCCTCGTCCAATCACACGCTAGTCAACAGGATTCAAGTTTGATGGCCAGACCCGCGATTAGAATGTATATCCATTTTCGTCAAGTATTATTCTATTAATCCTGGCAGATGATTTGTCACATGCGCAAGCAAACAAGCCCATGAGTGAAACAAGGCTCGAATCTCCCTTGCACAAATCCATCAGTTTCGTTGGAATTGGCTGATATCTCTATAACCTTTTTTTAGACTATTTTCTGAACAAACATCTCATCTAAAAGTAGTTAGTCCCTGGTCATGCCTTTAATGTTTGTTATACAGCAATACATACTAATACGCCTTTTCTTTCTTTGGGGAGCCAAGATTAGTGATTGCTTTTGAAATATTTACCTTTCAATAGTTATACAATGCCCCTTGTCCGATAGCCCATACGATGAAATGTTGTGCATCGGCTGCGATAACGCTCATAGCATCATATGAATGCTAGACAAGGGTATCTTTCTTACTTTCATGCAGCTGTGTAGCATCCTCAATGATTAGTGTAATATAGGTCTTCGTTGTATTCGTTGTCAGGCGCAGACTATATAAGTAAGATGCGTGTGAAAAGTAACAGAAACTTCAACAGAATAATGCTATTCAATAACGAGCTATATTATGTCGCTTTCCAAAACCAACAAAGTTTACCATTATCTAATTGGGGTTTGAATCACTAACGCTTACTATTACACCGTTTTGAGTTCTTATTGTTGTACTTTTTGAGAAACCATTAACAATAGTACTTTCCAAACACTCGCTTGAACATGAGACTTGGACAAACAGTAGTATCGTACTATTTTTCTAAAAAAAGACACTGAACTTTGAGTAATAAACGTACTGCCGAGGTGACCAAGAGTACCCATCCTTTAAAGAATGTAAGACGAGAGTTGGAGACGAAGATTTAGATCCGTGTGTTACGCCAGAATATGTAGAAATTGAATTTTGTTCATGCACAATAACATTCTATGCCTTATCTAATTTATTATAAACAGACATCATGAACATAATTTGGATCGTGAGATTTAAAAAGTGCGTTTTTTTAATATCCCGTTTCCTCGTCAAAAAATATGCAAGTCTAACGTTGAATATGTTGAAGTCAATTAATCACAAGCATAAGAGAATGGTCTATGAGACGAAACCATAAAAATAACGTTACAAATATAAACAAGGGGGCTTTCCAACCTCTAAAACAAGTTCAGACATTCCGATAGCGCATTAGTAATAACAATATCAACTATAAGAAGATTGATTTACTGTATCTCTCTGCGCTCAATTAATACGTTCGTTGGAGTCACATGCAGAGATTAGCTTGAAATAAGATTCTTGTAAACTTGGGCAGAAGTAATCAAACACATTTACAATATTAGATAGTAAGACATTCAACATCCTATTAATGTTAACATAATAGCTATGATCGAGATTCTAATATACGGAAAACCATTGTCCTTCGGTCCTTCGCACATAACAATTAGCTATAATCGAGATTCTGTCCTTCACACATAAGAATTGTGTCCTATCTGGTCAATAGATCCAAAAATGTTAACATATATTGTTGCTGGAAACAGAATGTCAAATCCAACTTCTTATTACGCGTAACAGAACGCCATGTAGATCACGTTGCTTAATATGCTCCAGCCAAATTAGTTTGAAACCCAACTGGCGCTATCAATATGCAGATCTAGTGGTTTTCAGGCACCGCACTCCCCATTTCTTACGTCACGAACGTTACATAATATTATAATTGATGTTAATCAATACTTCCAATTCGTCACTTTTCTGCTTCAATAGACAGCAATAAGAGAAATGCCCCGTATATAGTCGTGTGTTAATATAATAATACCCATAATAAGTAGGATTGCAGACGATGTTACCGCCAAATCGTGAATGAGATAATGACCGAATTGGTACGAGAGAAGGGGAAAAGAAATAAGCTTATCGAAAGTGGATCACGCGAAAACTCTAAATTGTTTGCAGGCAAGAGGTTAAAAGTTGGTTATGAAAGAGAGAACTTTAACAGTGATGGCTTAATTACAGTGAATTCTGCAAGTTATCAATTAATACGTCACTGCGAACACGTGTAAACGTGATTAATGTTGATTAATGCTCGAATTAAATGTTTAACGGGTAACGTTTCCCTAGATCCTCAACATACAAAATTCTTACATTCAAACTACAGACAAATCAGTCTTTATTCTCAGACTCGGAAAGTTTATTGTTCCACGGATAAGTTGTTGCATGCACACATTTCTCCTGGACATTTTGTACAATCGAAAAAGATCAAAGAAAAAAAAAACACTCCCAATCAAATGTTCATATAACTAATCGTAAAATATAGTCCACCTTTAACAAGAATTTTCTCACTCTAAACATCACGTGCCATGCATCAAACACAGAAAGAAATGTACAAAAGAATACTACAACTCCGAGAGAATAATTGTTCGTTTAGCAGAATAACAACAATAAATTAACGACATCCATTTCGATTAAAGGATCAGAGACAGGAAAGACTAAAAGAGAGGAGAATTGAAATTTCGGGGAGATGTAATGAATAAAGTAATCTCTCAAAACACAACAGTAATCCTTCTACTGACAACTCCATAACACTTCTGCTTCCATTTCGTCCATCAGGTATACATCTCGTGAACACTGCTAATCACTATCCCATCTACTAAACTACATCCACGTCGTAATTCTCCTCCTTTTACATTTTATCCCACAACACTCCCCCCTCACCTCTCACATTCTTATAACCTATTATCTCGAACACACAATAGGCTTCTCACCAGTTGGGTACACCGCCCAGCGGTAGTTAATAATTATCCTCAACCAGATAGCTTTTGTTTATCATATGTCTCTGCATACTATCCTGTTGTTCACCTACTACAAACAGAACAAATTCAAAGTTGTCATGATTAGTTAAGTAGAAGTCACATGGACAGCAGGTTCTGATTTCTGTGCTAACGGAATCTTTGACTATAGTATTATCCCCAATTAAACAAACACGCCTATCATAACATCAACATAATGCTATTGAATGTCATCGAGCGAGCACCTTATTACTCGTCACTATCTTTTTACGATTGAATAATTCGCTTATGCCCTAATCGCGTATGTTTGTCATCTCAAATATTCAACCCGTTACACTACCCCCACGATTTTCTGCCAGACAAACATTATCTTTCCAATTCACTCACCGAGTAACGCCTACGCTACATCACTTCTTGCCGACGATGAAAGTGGCACGTATTTTCCTGTCA